TCTAAAGGCAAATGAGTGATCCCTTGAATCCTCATAAAGTCTTGGCCCTGGAAAGTTCCCTAATCCACCTATTTGTAAGTGTCAGATGGATGATAGGATAAAGTGACTTCACTATGGACCCAGATCCTGAAATACTAAAGCCCAGCCATGTTTCTCTTGGTTTTCAATACTTTATTCCAGCGTTCCCAGTTCAAAGACCGTTGTCTTGAAAAGAACACATGCAAGATAAAGGCTAAGTTGTTCTGCTTTCTCATAAACAACTGATTGTACTCTGATAAAAATGATAAGCTTGGCATTTTAGAATCCTAGTCAATTTCTGAGGTTCTACCACATTATGTGTTCACCTGAGACGAGCTATTGAGCCCCCTGAACTTTAGTTTCCTTGTCTCTATAATGAGTATGGTATCACTCACCTCCACTAAGTTATTTAATTTATGGAAAATATTAAAATATTCTGAGTGCTAAATATGATTTATTTCATGGAAAGTAGAGGGTGCAGTCCCTGGTGACAGCAGGAACTCCTTCCCCGGCAACAGCTTAGAACAGTGGTTCTCATTCCTGATTGGGCATCATAGTCACCAGTGGAATTTAAGGAAAACTCAAGAACAAACAAACAAACAAACAAACAAATCCAAAACTCATAAAGGAAATGACTGAAAATATTAATCACAGTAGAACTTGAAAGTTCAGTATGACAAATAATATGATAAACCCAAGTAACATAAAGAGACGGAGAAAATATTTGTCACAAACAGAATGGTATTCAGATTATATAAAATGTCAAGAAATTGGTAAGAAAAAGATAAATTTGTAGCAGAAAAAGATTAAAACCTGAATGGACATGTCACAATTTACAAAAGAATAAAACCCAATGTCATGTAATATGAAGACACCCCATCATTTCATTCATAATCAGAGAAATGAAAATTAAAACAATAAATTACTGCATCCCGGGGTGCCTGGGTGGCTCAGTCAGTTAAGTGTCCCGACTTTGGCTCAGGTCATGATCTCACGGTTCGTTCGTGAGTTGGAGCCCCACATCAGGCTCTGTGCTGACAGCTCAGAGCCTACAGCCTGCTTCAGATTCTGTGTCTCCCTCTCTTTCCTCCCCTCCCCCACTCACACTCGGTGTGTCTCTCTCTCTCTCTCAAAAATAAATATACATTAAAAAAACAATTAAAAAATAAATCACCACATCCCACCCATTATATTGTCCATGATTAAAAAGGAATAATACGTGAATAACTTTAGAAGTATAAGTATTCCCACAGTGAACTAATGGGAGCATAAATTGTTAAAGAACATTTGCAGAACGACTTAGTAGTTTCTTTTAAAACTAAAAATGTCCATGACCTAGGACCAGCAATCAAAATTCTTGCTATCTACCCTCGAGAAATATTTGCACATTGCATACAAAAAAAGAGAACAAAGTACTGCAGAATTGTCTGTGACTTCAGAAAATAGGAAACACCATAGATGTAAAAAATCGGGGTCTGGATAAATAAAATATGGTCCATGCATTTTAAGAACAACTCTTCAGAAGTTTTTAACTTAATTTATATAAATCTCGAAAACAGAAAAAATATATGTAGCAATTCAGAAAAATATATGCATTCAGAAAAAATATATGTAGCAATTCTTCTTGGACACTTAATGTGTATCTACTCTGAGGGTTTTACATGCATTAAGTTGTTTGATACTCAGATCTACTATTTGAAGCAGATACTATCATTATTAGGAGGAACCAAAGCACAGACATGTCAAGCGACTTTCCCAAAGTCACAGCTCTGTCTCTCCAGAGTCCATGCTTTTGACGGCTCTACTCACCTGGCCCAAAGAGGCTGCAAAACCGTGTGCACAGGGGAGTAGCTGTTAGTATCAATATCATTTTTTAAAGGACTGTAATATGGGAAGAAGTATACTAAACTCATTTTCATGCTGTCTTGGCCAGGAAGTTTGCAGCGTGACGGGATTGAGGAGAAATCAGAAAGGACTACAGCAGTATCTTTAGCATTGTATTTCTTTTTTTAAGAAACAGTATGTTAATTTGTAATTTTTGAAACCATAATCAAACATGAAAAAATGAAAATGAACTTGGCAAAATTTTAACAGTGGTTGACACAGATGAGGGCAATATGGATAGTTATTTATTTATTTATTTATTTATTTTGCACTTTGATACATGGTTCAATTTGAAAGAAAGAAAGAATACTTGGTGGGGCGCCTGGGTGACTCAGTCAGTTAACGTCCGACTTCCTGTCAGGTCATGATCTCGAGGTTCATGAGTTCCAGCCCCATGTCGGGCTCTCTGCTATGAGCACAGAGCCTGCTTCAGATCTTCTGTCCCCAGCCCCTCTCTCTGCCCCTCCCCCGCTTGAGCTTTCTCACTGTCTTTCAAAAATAAATAAGAAACATTAAAAAAAAAAAAAAAGAATACTTGGTGACAGATCCCTTTCCCCAAAGAATAAGAAAGCATCCCTGTCCCCATAGATGGCGTCAGGATATCTGCATTAAAAAAAACCCTCCAGAGGTATTCAGATGGCAGGGACAGCTGTATTTGGCAGAGGTGTGGGGCTCTAGGGAAAGCTCACGGCTTTGAAAACCGGGATCCCGTCTCCCATCATCACTACACATTAGCTGCGTGATCTTGAACAAATTAGCCTCTCAGAACCTCAGCTCCTCCATGCATAAAATGGAGTAATACCTCCTCCACCAGATTGAATGGGACCCAAATCCTGCCCGCTCCGTGTCTGGTTTGTTACATACTGTGGTTCCACGGACACTAGAATTTGACTTTCTATCTTCCCTCAACGCTTTGAATGATTGTAACTTAACCGTGCATTTTGCCAGGCTGTTAAGAAGGGTAGAAGGCATGCTGGCCTATACAATGCCTAGAGCAGCTTCTGAAATATATTTGGGAAAAAAAATCAACACACTAACAATAACAGCAACAAAAAACCCTTCACCAATCACTGATAGAGAGACCTCTGTTTCCTCCTCCGTGAATGTGTAGAATAATACCGCTTACTGACCATGGAAGTTGAGATTTGGGATAATGCTTTAAAAAGTTCACCCAGAGTACACACACACACACACACACACACACACACACAGACCCTTTGGGTGTATTTTATCTAGTCCTGGTAATTTAGTTACTTGTGGTTTATTAATTAGGTTGAAAACATCCTGTTAATTTGCTATTATTTAATTTATTAACTGATTAAGGCCTGACCTCTCAAGGGGAAAATGCTGATTAACTATATAATACAAAGGCTAAAATGTTGCATAGGAGCATTTTACAGATACATTCTTTCTCGTGAACAGTTTGTCATTCAGAAAGTACTCAGTCTCTCTTCTCTTTTCTCATTTCTTGCTCTCACTCAGGCAGACCTTCCCCTCCCCCACCCACCCCTGCCTCCTTTGGATAGCCAAGTTCAGTATTTTTAAAAATAGACCCTACTTTTTAGGTAGATTTTAGATTTATAGAAAAATTGAAAGGATAGTATGAAAAATTTCCACACACTCTGTACCCAGACCCCCCTATTATTAGCATCTCGTGTTAGGGTGGAATATGTCAGAGTTAATGCATTAACACTTATGCATTTTCTTTAAAAAAAATTTTTTTTTACATTTATTTATTTCTGAGAGAGAGAGACAGAGCATGAATGGGGGAGGGGCAGAGAGAGAGAGGGAGACACAGAATCCGAAGCAGCCTCCAGGCTCCAAGCTGTCAGCACAGAGCCCGATGCAGGGCTCGAACTCACAAGCCATGAGATCATGACCTGAGCCGAAGTTGGTTGTTCAACCGACTAAGCCACCCGGGCGCCCAACACTCATGCCTTTTCATAAACTAAAGACCATAATGTATTTGAATTTTTTTAGTTTGTATCTAATGTCCTTTTTTCTGTAGTAGGATCTCATTCCAGACACCACATTACATTTAGATGTTACATTCCTCTAGGCTCCCCTTGATTGTGACAATTCCTCAGACACTTCTTATTTTTGATGACCTTGACAGTTTTGAGAAGTATGGGTCAGGTATTTTGTATGATGTCCTTTAACTGAGTTGTGTGATGTTTTTCTCATAGCTAGACTGGGTTATGGTTTTAGGGGAAGAAGACCACAGAGGTAAAGTGTCATTTTCATCATGTCTTATCAAAGGTTCATACGATCTACATGACTCATCATTGCTGGTATTGACCTTGATTACCTGGCTGAGCTACTGTTTGTTGGGCTTCCCACGCCCTTTCCATCCCATCTGGTTTGGAAGAAAGTCACACTGTGCCACTCACATTTAAGGAGTGCATATACTCTTCTTCTGTAAGTACAGAATATCTATTTAGATTATTTGAAATCTTCTGCATGGACATGTGTCTGTACCCCATTTACTTATGTATCCAGTCACCAGATATAATTTTATTAAAGAATAAAATTTACCTGGGGTAAAAGTTAATTGGTTCAAAAATATTCCTTCTTAAAATCCAGGGCAAAAAAAGTTTTTAAGGAAACAATAAAGCCTAATTGACTTTGCTTGTATTTAAATTTAATTTCACTCTTAACTGAACATTTAATATATATAACACTGGTCTGTAGAGGATATAAGATGGCTGAGCCAAGGTTCCCTGCCTGAAGAAACAGGCCCAGACAGAAAATGTGCATGCATAACCAGGCAAATAAGTGTTGCAGTTAAAAGTAAAGTGCTTTGGGAACACTGAGAAGATAGTAATTAATTCAAGGAAAGCTCGATAAAAGAAGTCTGAAATCAGGGACAGCTTCCCCTGTGTGCAACCAGTGATTCTGAACGATTCTGACTATGAACGGAGAAACTGAGCCCAGGGAGAATGAAAGACTTCACTAAGGTCTCATAGTTGGTTAATGTGAGCGCCTGAGCTGAAAAGCAAGTCTTCCAGTTCCAGATCCCATGTTCTTTTCGCTGCATCCAACTAGGAAATAACACAGAAGCCTGCTATGCATTATCCAAGGCGGAAATGAATACTTACCTCAAACAAGCGCAAGACCTTGGCCAGGGCACCAACTTCTTCCTTGAGCGAGAAGATCAGTGATATGGCACCATCTTGATTGGAATTGTCTTCAATATAGCTTGTTTCCTACAAGATGAAGTGCTCCTGGTTAAAATGTTTTCCTATGAAATCTGCAAGCAAGAGGCCGGCATAAACGCTCTCTTCTAGTTAAGGCTTGGAATGCAATGAGTTACATATATTCTACACAGTAAGTATATGATTTATGGTAGAAAATATGTAAGTCAAGGGGAGTGATATTTACAATGATGCTCCTAGGTCAGGATTCACTTTTAGAAAACTCTCATTATTCACTGATATCACCTATAGCCCCAGTACCTTTTAGTGAGCATCTACCAAGTGCCAGGCACTACTAGGGCCCTGAGATACAAAAATGAATAAAACAATTCCCATCCTTCAGGAGCTCAATATTTGGCTTAATAGACACATAACACAAAGAGCCTTAGAGGTAGTATAATACAATTCAAAAAGTGTCCAGAAAAACACTGAAAACTACGGTGTGGAAAGTACTAAAAATGGGTGGTTGAGACCAAAGACCTCGGTTGGAGCCCTCTGTCTTCCAGTTATCAGCTGAAACACTTTGGGCAATAGCTTGGCCTTTTTAGTTTCCTTATCTGGAAAATCATGCTAATAATAAACCCTGTCAAAGCAATATTCACATGATGAAAAAAAAAGATAAAACAGTTTACATATAAAAATGATGGAAATACGGGGCACCTGGGTGGATCAGTTGGTTGAGCGTCCAACTCTTGATTTCAACTCAGGTCATGATCCCGGGGTCGTGGGATTAAGCCCCATGTCAGGCTCCGTGCTGAACACAGAGCCTGCTTGGGATTCTCTCTCTCTCTCTCTCTCTCTCTCTCTCTCTCTCTCTCCCTCTGCCCCCCTCCTCTGTTCTCACACACACACTCTCTCTAAAATAAAATAAATAACAATAAAATTTTTTTAATGATGGAAATATTGTAAATACACAAGAATGACTCTTTAGCCTTGGCAAAGATCCCAGGGAAGCATTATGCTCAGGAAAGCATTGTCCTGTATGCTGGGATCTATGATATCCAATTACTGAAAAAGTCACAAAATGCATAAAAGAAACACAAATAACCTACCAGAAGAGGGATGTCCTAAACTATATAGCAAAGCTTGTCAAGGATCTAGCACTTTCTACATGCACATGTCAGCAAACTAATGTGGGATTAGGGTTGGCGTCTCAGGGTTAGCTGAAACCTTTAAAAATTATAAAGTTTTGCAATAATAATATACAAAGCTCCATGTGTGCTGACAAATAAATAGCACGTACCCCAAACTAGGAAGAAAAAACCACACAGAACAATTACTCTCTTATAAGCAAGTTAATGACATTAGTGGGATGGATGTTACATCATCTTAATGAGAAGGCTGTGTTGGGCAGACTCTACCAGTGATGGCATAATAACCCTTGCATGAATATTGATGACCTTTAGGACGAAATTCTTTTCATTCAGAAATTTCAGATTTTCCCAGAACCTCACAGAGGTGGGGCAACCACCCCCTTATTTTGCAGATGGGGAAACTGTGGGCCAGAGAGAGAAAGGTGTAATGCCTCTAAAGCCACACAGGTGTTGGGTAGCAGGTCAATAACCCAGGCTCTAAATTATCAGCAGGTGTAATTAGAGAGGGCTTCAAATGAACTGGAAGACTGAACCGTTTTATATCCCTATATGGACCGTGATATTATCTTTCTTAAAAAACATTTGTCTTTTTAAAAAATTCCAGTAGAATTAATCTGCCATTTATTAAGAGCCTGTAATGTCCCAGGCATCATAATAGGCACTTGATTTGGATTACCTCATTTAATTTTGATATAATTAGGAGGCAGGTTTTATTATCCAGCAGGTGTCTGCTTTTACTGATGACAAAATGAAGTCTCAGAGATATATAGTCAGCAATGGAGCCAGGGTGAGACCCCACGCCATTTGAGCCCAGCATTCATCCATGAATCACAGCTTCTTGTAAGACTCTATCCTGCCTCTCCCTCTTGTAAACCCTGCCACAGACATGCAGAGGAGTGTCTGATATACATCTTCTTCCTCCCAGAGAACACTGAGTCCTTAGTCTTTTCTGATTTCTTTGAAATGACAAAAGATTTCCATTTCTGGTTCACTTGGCAACGTTCTCTTCTGTTGGCCTCCAAGAAAATAACACATTCCAGATATACCTCAACAGGTGCCACCCATAACTGGGACAACTCAGACCTGAAGGCACCTGGGCTCAAAACTCTGTCACCACCAGCTTCCCGCTCCTGTACATGTCCAAGTCCCACCTGACCTCTAGAAGTGACCCTTGGGGTCAGGTCCTTCTTTTGTTCCTACTGCCACCGCTGTGATCCAGCCTTAGTGATCTGTATCAGTCTGGTTCTAACAGAATTTTGCTTGTGTCCTTCTACTACTCAGAATTCCCCAAAGGCTCCCAAGGCCAGCAGGAGAAAATACCTCTTTCTGATATTCAAGGGTTCCTTGGTACCTTATCTCCCGAGGCCGCCCACAGGAACTGCCTCTCTAGCAAATCATCTTTCTTCTTGCCTTTTCAGCTCATTAGAACAGATGTCCTGCCCCAGCCTCCACGCTCCCCTTTCAAATATCTAAGTCTGGGGGCGCCTGGGTGGCTCAGTGAGTTAGTCGCTTAGGCTCAGGTCATGATCTCGCGGTCTGTGAGTTCGAGAGCCCAGCGTCGGGGCATTTGATGGCTCAGAGCCTGGAGCCTGCTTCCGATTCTGTGTCTCCCTCTCTCTCTGACCCTTCCCCGTTCATGGTCTGTCTCCCTCTGTCTCAAAAATAAATAAACATTAAAAAAATTAAAAAAAAACAAATATCTAAGTCTGCCTCTAAAGCCCTCTTGGGTCTCACTTCTGTCAGAAGACCTCTGTCCTCCCCAGCTGAAGTGAATAATCCCTCCTTGACCTATGCATTCCATTTGGCTTCTGATGTCCATGTGGGACTTGACTGGCAGAGCTGGCCCTGTCTTTAGAGTTGATCTAGTTCCACCCCCTTATTTTGCAGATGGGGAAACTATGGGCCAGAGAGAGAAAGGTGTGACTCCTCCGAAGTCACACAGGTGGTGGGTAGCAGGTCAAAAACCCAGGCTCCTAAGTATCGTTCTGTACAATTCCTTCTGCTATGTGCATTATGTCCACATTAAGGCCTCTGTGTCTTGCAGACCAGTTATCCAATATCATTCCTGACAGCCCATACTAATCCACACCTGCCCCCTTCATTTTCTTCTTTCCCCCGGTTCACTTTCTAGATCAGATTGTCAATGAGTGTTCCTTTTTTCTCCATTCCAAAATTACCTGGGGAATCTTTGTTCAAATGCAGATTCCTGGGCCCTGCCCTAGCCCATCACATCTGAGTATGTGGGGTAGGATCTTAGAATCTGCATTTTCAAAAGGTCCCAGATAATTTTCACCGTGGAAGATTTTGAAACCACTGATAAATACACAGCCCAAGTTTTTAAATTGTGACTTTTCCCAAATATGTCTGCAAATTCACATTTGCCATATGGAAAGGTACTACTCTTTATTGTCATTAATATTAATAATAGGACGTGGCATTGAATGAATCCCCACTATGTGCCAGGAGCCATACTTGGTGATTTTTATAGTTAATAAGCATCATCATTGGCAGCGGCTAGTACCGTTATAAGAGTCTACAAGTTGTAGCTCATCTGGTCTTCACAATAGCCCCATGAGGTGGGTGATGTTACTTTGCAAAGGAGGACACAGACTCTGCCAGCTTAAGTGGATTGTCCAAGGACAGCCCACCAATGGTGGCAGAGCCTGGATCTGAACATGAGTCCAACAGTTCCAAAATCCGTATTCTGCCTCCCAGTGACAGACCCGAGGGAGACAACATATAGCTCCCCTTTGCAAAACTTGAGGGACTTTAAATGAAAAGAAGCTCAAGGGGGTTTGTGAAATAAGGTGGCCTTGGGTAGATTCTGATTCCAACATCACTATGTGGATCCAGCATGGGACCTTGGGCAAGTCTCTTCCAGAATATATTTGTATTGGCTCATCATCCATGCCTTATTTGTTTCCCAAAAGCGTATGAGTTGGCTTAGAAACACATGTAGACCCAGGATGGGCAAAGGTAGAGAAAAGTAGCTCAGACACCAGATAGGAAGAAATAGTGCAGGGAAAATGACCTTTACTAGCACCCAGGATGGAAAGAGTTTTGATCATTGGGCAAAATGTTTGACAGCAGAAATATATTCCCTATGGTTTTATCTAACAAATGCATTCTGTTATCCTTGCAAAAGAGCATTTTTCAAAATTGCAAACAATAATACTCTTTAGCAAGGTATTCTAAGGGCACCTTCAATCTTAGTGTCATGGTAGGAGGCCTGTATTTGCAAGTGTGATTATATGTATACACAAGCACAGTGTAAGGCAACCAGGAAAAAAGATGCAGACATCCTGCCATGGACACACTACACCCCCTATTCCAGCGTGTTTCTACAGGAGGAAGAAGTGTGGCAGTGAGCGCCCAGGGTGTTGAAGTGTGATCTACATTTGAACACTGGCTTCACCATTCAGAGCTATGATTTCTGAGTTCCTCTTATCCTGTATTCCACTGCCCTGTTCTATTTTTCTTCACAGCTCTTTCCCCTACACGAAATTATTTGTTCATTTGATTAGTTTTGTATTACTTTTGTCCTCCACTAGAATATAAGTTTCACTAGCGCAGAAATTCCACTGCGCCTGGCACAGAGTAGGTGCACAATAGGCCTACTGGGTGAATGAATGAGCCGAACATCTCTTGCAGGGTTGTTGTGCCTGTGGCGTGGGTAGAGCACTTGACACATCACAGGCCTCCAGCCTTATGTCAGCATTACGTCCAGCACGTGCTGTTCATCTGGGTCGGGAGCTTCGAGAGGGCATAAAGTAGGTCTTTCTTGCAGACTTTCAGAGCTGGAAGGAATGCTTAAGACTATTCCAGTCCAACTCCCCCGCCCTCAGTTTTACAAATACCAAACTGAGCCTCTTTGCCCCAGTTAGATGACTTCCCCGATACACAGCTTCGGTAAACCAAAGACAAGAGCCCATGTCCGCTCACTGCCTGTCTAGCATCCTTCCATGGTGTAGCTGTACCAACCACTGTGCTTGACTCAGTGCCTGTGTCTCTTGCCAATGTTCCATACCCAGTTTGGTGAACAAGTAAGTCAGTTCTGGCTAGACACGGTGCTCCAGGAACTGTGCTAAAAGCTTTACAGACACTATTTCATTTCATGCTCATCCTAACCCTAGGACATGGGTACTTTTATCCTAATTTTTCAAATGAATAAACCTGCAGCTTTGCAAAGTTAAATACCCTGCTTTCCATGCAAAGGTAAGACATGCTGTAAACTCTCATTTTTTACCCCCCAGTCATCAAGAGCGATCATCTGTGGTTCTCAATCTTCTAAGTGTTCTATGAAGAACGCTTTAAGCCCCCATGGCTCCCTAACCAGATCATAGCCCCTAACTTCCTCCCATGGTTGTAGGGGCCCCACTGCCAGAAACACCAGGACTGAATGATGACCGGGCCAGAATCTATTCTGCGATCCATCTGACAACCACACTGTCCCTCCTCAACACAAACTGTCTCCCAAGTGCAACCTTTCCAAAGGAAGTCTTTCTCACAGGACTCAAAAAAAAAAAAAAAAAAAAAAAAAAAAAAAAAGTCAGTCCAAAGTTCTGTGGTCTCTCTAGTTATGCTAAAACACAACTATCCTCTCCCCTCCAGCTTGTGTTCTCTAGACGGGTCTCACTGATCTTGTAAATGACAGCTGTCTGTAAGCTGACGTTATCTCCCAGGGCTGGGCTGGGCTTTACGTCTGAACCCCAAAGTCTGCAAGTGTGATAAGTCAATTCAAGAATGTATGCTGCCATTTTTCACCTCAAGAGAAAGGCAACGTGTCCCGAAGAACAGAATGCACCCTGAGTATTATCCCCAAGTCACGTTTAGGGTTCTCTCACATTCCAAGTTCAAGGCTAAGTCCTGTTCATTTCCCTCTCTGTTTAATTTTTCTCCTTCCCCAGGTCTAAGTCCAAGACTTCTTCATGCCTCCTTTTCTCCCAAAGGTGAAAAAAAGAATACAATTTCTTACAACGTTGCCATTTTGAAAGCTGGCTGAGAGCTCTACATAAACATCACAGGAGAGCAGATCTAGAAGAATCCCACCTCCCATACCGGATCATTGAGAACCAGCCCCTTCACTGTAGGAAAGAGAAAGCAGGCAACAGAGAGGGCCGGTGACTTGTCAAAAGACACACAGCTACTTGGGGGCAGCTCTGGAAGCCAGATCCCCATCTCCTAAAGCAGTGCTCTTTCCCTGAAAGCCACACAGGACAGATGTCCTTCCCTAGGGAGCGGTCGTTGAGGACACGTGTTATCTGTTGCCTTCCTGGACATTTCCATCATTCTTCAAATAAATTCAGACTTCTCGGTGAGCTTAAGGGAGTAGGAAAGAACAACATTCCTCAGACCCTTTCCTACCGGGGACCAGACGTCCCTCCCTCCCTGAGGCCAGCCCCGGCTCAGGCTCACCTGTCCGTCAGAGAGTTTCCTGCCAAAACCTCGGTTTTCCAGGACCACAGCCGACATGCTGGCTCCCCGCGCGAGTGAGGCGTCTAACTCCGGGGCGTCGGTGGCAGGCGGTTTCGCAAACAGCAAGTGCTGCTGCTGAGGTTTTTAACCTGGCGTTAGGAGGAGAGGAGAGATCGCAAGGATGTCCCCTGCCACTTACCGGCCACAGTGAAGCCCCAGGTGGGCGTTGTCCTGACGTAGTGGGCTCCGGGTCACCTGGCCCGACCGCCCAGAGGGGAGGGTGTGGCGGATGCGGGGAGGCAGGACTTGGCTGCCCGCCCTCGGTGGGGCGCGGGGCCGCCTCCGCGCTGGCGATGAGACAGGGTTGGCACCTCCAGGACGCAAGAGCACGGGAAGCGGGTTCTTGCAGTGCGAACAACCCCGCGATCCCCTGATGACAAAACCTGTAAGAAATAATCCTTTCTTCCCCAACCCCCCTCCCCATAGGAGCACAGCCAGGATCTTAATTTCGATTTACATTGGTGGGGGGCGGGGTCCTTTCTATTAACCATTAAGCCAACCATCTTTCTGTGCTGGGACTTCAGAAAGCAAGACTTTCTGTGCTGGGACTTCAGAAATGCATTCGCACGCCCTCGAGCTGTTCACGCAAGTGCCGGGAGCTCCCAGAGGAGAGTGGGAGAGCCTCCTGGCCGGGATGCTGCGAGAATATGAGTAAGAATGAGAACGAGGTACCATATTACGCACTGAGTACAGTTCTCGCCATAGAGTTGAACCCTCAATAAATAGAAGATCCTGTTTAAAAGTATGTGACCACAAATAATCACCGAACACCTGTACTGTGTGTGGGGAGGTATTCTCCGCACTCAGGGTGAAGCAGGGAATGAAACAGAGGCCCCCCGCCTCCCCGGCCAAGCTGCCTTTCTGTGAGCGAGACAGAGAATACGTTAATAAATAAATTTATGCAGAGCTAAGCCTTCTGAAGAATATAAAACAAGGAGACGGGCTAGGACAGAGCTGATGGGTACTGGAGACTGGACTCCTCCAAATGAGCAGGAAGATGTCATTCACTCCCATATTTTCAGAGCAGGAATCTGAGATGAAGCATTCGTTGCCAGCGGGAAAACAAAATAACGAGGACACAGCCACGTCAGAGGTTCAGAAGAGATGTGAAAAAATCAGGGGCATCAAGGCCTCGAGGGCCTGCCTAATATTTACCCAGGAGAGAAAACAAGCCAATAATAGAGGTTGCTAGAGATCCACCCCCTCCTATCCCACGATGCTGTGACAGAATGACCAAACATCTGCCAAAAAAAAAAAAAAAAAAAAAAAAAAAAAAAAAAAAAAAAAAAATCTCCTATTTGAGATCCAAAACAAATGGACTAACTCCTGGTTCCATCACTGATTAGCCATGCTATGTAGCTTTGGACAAATCCATGCCTCAGTTTCTTCGTCTTCAAAATGGGGGTTTTAAGGGTTGTTGTTTAGGGTCCCTTGAGCCTCTATGATGTGCCAGGCTTTCTACTGGCTGCTAAGAATATAGACATAATTAAATGTGACTTTGGTCCAAAAGGAGTCTTTGAGTGTCTGATTGGTATTTCCTACGGTAAACTGGAAGATCAATGTTGTTGAACCTGAAAGGGCAAACCCTGACTTCCACCCTCAGGAGAATCTATCCTTTAATGTCAATATTTTTTTTAGCATGGTAGACATGAGATGAAGAGTTTTCTTCAGCCCCAGGACTGCCTCACAAGCATCATTTCATCCATTGATGTTGTTGGCATCCTAAGGACAGCAACGGATGTGATGGCAACTGCCATATAACAGGCATGCCATAAATAAAAGCAAACAATGACAGCTAATCCCACATAAAAATGCCCCAGACCTGGGTTTTAGAGCACACTTAATTTTCAGTTACTTCAGAGAAAAACATTAATACCTTCTTTTAAAAATATTATTCTGGCAAAAAAGAGAACATTTCTCTATGCACTAAGATAAAAACTCCCAATGGTTGTTATATAAATTTTGTAGGTGATTTTTAAGCTGTCTTCTTGTTAAATGTGTGTGGAATATAATGTGTTGCTCTTATAACAAGGGTGGTGCGGGGCACCTGGGTGGCGCAGTCGGTTGAGCGTCCAACTTCAGCCAGGTCACGATCTCGCGGTGCGTGAGTTCGAGCCCCGCGTCGGGCTCTGGGCTGATGGCTCAGAGCCTGGAGCCTGTTTCCGATTCTGTGTCTCCCTCTCTCTCTGCCCCTGCCCCGTTCATGCTCTGTCTCTCTCTGTCCCAAAAATAAATAAACGTTGAAAAAAAAAAACAAAAAACAAGGGTGGTGCTGAGTCCTAAAAAAAGTTGCTTTGGACCCCGGTGCAAGTCTAGAAGGAGCATCCAAGAATGCAGTGTGCAGACCATTGAGATATTGTGAATGGCCACAGAGAGGTCCACCATGTCGCAAGTTGTGTATATGGTACACTTAGAGCTGACCTTCACCGATTTGGAAGTTGAAGATTTCCCAACCACTGCAGGTTATCAATCTCTTTTATTTAACCTCATATGCGGAGAGTTGAGTTAATCATAATCTATGAATTCATGGCACATAATCAAAACCTACAAGGTTCTGTCTAGTTTAATTTATTCATTCTTTTTCATCTTCATTCCCTACCTCTACTCCCTTCCCCCGGAGGTATCATCCTTGTGTTTAATACTTAGCCTTGGATTTTTATTTTTTTTAATTTTTTAATGTTTATTTATTTTTGAAAGAGACAGAGCGTGGGTGAGGGAGGAGCAGAGAGAGAGGGAGACACAGAATCTGAAGCAGGATCCAGGCTCCGAGCTGTCAGCACAGAGCCTGACGTTCGGGGGGCGAACCCACAAACTTCAAGATCATGACCTGAGCCGAAGTCTGACACTTAACCAGCTGAGCCACCCAGCCAGGCACCCCTAGCCTTGGATTTTTAGAATGTGTGGAAATATTGGTGCTTGTATGTGCTTTTCGTGGATATGAGTGATGTTGTGGTATAGTATTACTATAGAACATAGATAGACTATAGATTTCACAGTTTCTAACTTTTTCTTTGACCATATCCTTAGGATCTAACCATGCTGTGAATGTGCATCTAGTTCCTTGCTTTCCTAACTGGTGTGGACTACTCCACCATATTTGATTTCTCCATTCCCCAGTGATGGACACCTTGGCTGTCCCACCCCAAACAATTCTGCAAGAAACACCTTACTCCTTGTCCCCTTAGAGACCTGTGTGAGAATTTGTCTTGGATGGAGGGGTGGGATCCTAAATCCTAGGGAACATGCATTCTTAACTGCACAGACTACTGCCAGATTGCCCATTAGAAAGGCTTGTACTAGCCCACACCCCTACCAAAAGGTCCAAATAGTTCCTGTTGCTGAGCACCCCCAGTACCTGGCATCTTCTAAATGTCTGATTCTTTGTCAATCTGATCAGTTTGTAAAAAGTATGCCTTTGCTGTTTTTATTTTGCATTTCTCTTGTGGCAACTGAGTTTAAATATCTCTTTAGACACTTATGCCACTTAGATTTCCCATGCTGTCACTAGTTCGTTATATCCTTTGCCTATTTTTCTACTAGGACTCCTGTCTTTCCATGTTGACTTGTAGGCATAACTTGTATAGTCTAGATGTCAGCCATATGCCTTTCTCAGTCACTAATCTATCACCATCAGTTATCAACTGGTGTTCTTCCTTGAGGAAAAAAATAATAATTCTGATGTAATACAGATCGATCTTTTAAAATTTTTGTGGTTTGTACTCTTAGTGTCTTGTTTAAGAAGTCCTTCCTCATCTCTAAGTTACAAAAATATTCTCTCCTTTCATCATCACTGGTTTTATCTTTCACATTTGGATCTTTAATCTATCTGTATCTCTTTGTGGGTGGGATAGAGTACTGACCCAGAGTTGTTTTTGTTTTTGTTTTTCTGTCTCTCCTCTGTTCATGTCATGAGTCAGTTTTCAACAACATGGACAAAGACTTTTCATCATTGACTTTTTATGTCAGAACTTTCTCAGCTGAGATGAAATGACCCCTTCTCAGAGATGCATAATAAGAGACACCCCTTTGGCTTTTGGTACCACATGTACAGTTTTCCAAATTGCCATTTATATTTGAGTCTGTCTCTGAGATTTAATTTTTATTCCATTGGTTTATTCTATTATGCCTCCTTTTGTGTCTTTATCCTGCTGCATTTATTAATATCCCAGTATGTTTGGTAATGTATCTTAATATCAAGTTGGCAAGTCCCCCTTCTTCTCTTATTTTTCCCGAAGTGTACTTATCTGTTATGCACATTTATTCTTCCATATGCCAGCTGAGATTTTTATTGATTTGGCTCTGAATTTGGCTCTGATTTGGCTTCATCAGGGGATGCTTGTGTTAAACAATAGCATTAATAGCAGACATACATGCAGCCAAAGTTTCTCCATTCCTATTATGTGTGTTATAGGGTTTTGGTGTCGGAACCATCATTAAATTTATGAAATCCTCTCTATCCCTCGTGTGCTGAGGTTTGTTTGTTTTCATCACGAAGTGTTGAACTTAGCAAGCGCCTTTTCTGCATCTACTGAGAAAATTACGCGATGGCTTCCTTCTAGTCTATTAACATGGAAAATTATACTGGCAAAACTTTTGGATGTTAAACTCTCCTTGCATACTAAGATAAACCATTTTACTACTTGTACCATCATTATTTTATTTTGAAATCAAGATTACAGTAGCCTTACACAAGGAGTTGTAAAAAAAATTTTTTCCCTGTTTTTATAATTTTGGGAAAAACTACAGAAGATGCAAATTATTTGTTTCTTGAAAATTTGGTAATATTTCTTTTTTTTTTTCAACGTTTTTTATTTATTTTTTTGGGGACAGAGAGACAGAGCATGAACGGGGCAGGGGGCAGAGAGAGAGAGGGAGACACAGAATCGGAAACAGGCTCCAGGCTCCGAGCCATCAGCCCAGAGCCCGACGCGGGGCTCGAACTCACAGACCGCGAGCTCGTGACCTGGCTGAAGTCGGACGCTCAACCGACTGCGCCA